CTGAACCAGCAGCACCACCACCCGAGGCTCAAGCCGCACCACCACTTTCGCGGCTACGAGCACCAAGACCCGGCTCTAGAGCGGGACCCACGGCGGGCGCCAGCAGCCACCATATTCCAGCAGGCAGACATGCTGCTGAACCTGCTGCACGGCAACCTGCCTCGAGTGGAGCTGGCAGTTCGGATGATCACCTTCCAACTGCCACAGGTTAGAGTCAGACGTGGCCGACAGCAAGGAGGGGGTGCACCTCCTCCGCCACCAGCGGGTAGCCCTGCTGCGCGACCACGACTCCCAGACTGGTCAAGGTTCGGCGTACAAATCAGTCTACAAAGTTTACGAAGCCTTGACCCAAGCGTGGTAACACGCGAGCTGCTGAAGCTACACATGCGTTGATTCCATGCGAAAGAGCCTAAGATGAGACTCATCGTGTCCAAGATAGGACTCGACAACGTCAGATTCAATCGGATTAAAGGTGTATGCGACACATGTCGGGAGTGCAGAGCTTGGGACAAGCCGGGGCATATGGTTATGCCATATACTGCACTGCCTGGAAAATTCAACGAAGAAGTTGAATCTGACCTGATGTTGTACAAACAAGAACACAATATATTCCATAGCATCGGTCGTTGCATTCGTTTGCCACTTACCTGGAGATACCAGACAAGACGATGACCCGTATCCTGGATGCATACCATTAGTGCTGGATGCAGCTTGGACTTGCAAAGGCAGTCTACTCCGATGGAGGGTGCCCTCAACAGCCACATTGCGAAAGCAGTACTTAAGGCAAGCGCGTGGACAACACGCTACGACGATCGAAGCCAGAATTTGCATATTACGCCATCTGCTTCATGTCATGGAAGCTCAACTCAACAGGTTAGACATACCCCTTGTGTTCACGCGACTACTGCATGAGGCCTTGTTTGCCGCCAGCTCTTCTTCTACAGCGAGGTGTCCCGATGCAACGCTCTGTTTGGACGGCAATCAGTAATGCTCCTTGACTTACCTGTCCTGGATCACGAACAGCCGACGGAAACGTCGGATCATTCTCGTGAACAGATGATACGTGAGGTATGCATCGAAGCCGCACAGGCCACAGCAGCAGTCAAGACCAATCGTGCATTTCGCACTAAGACAACTGTTACCGGTCAGCATTACTACGACGAAGGAGGTTTGGTTGATTACCATGGCCCCACAACAACGGAGGACGACTGGGGAGGCTGGAATGGCCCATTCCCAGTTGTAAAAAACGATCCCGGAAGGGGTCAGGTCATCGTTCGAGTGGGACACCGCGATGTGCAGGTACAATACGGCGATGCACGACACTCACTCTATATTGAAGCCCACTGACAGAGAACTCTAGCCAGAGAAATTGGCTCCGACAACACTGCGCACGGACTGTGTTGACGTTCGTGGCCAGTGTACCTGCGGGGGGACCTACTATGACATTTGGCTATGTGCCGACCAAGAAGGGGGTGCTTCAGATGACAAGTGCAAGCCGACTATCTCCTAAGGTACATCTAGTTTTGCAATACCTTGCCCGAAACTTCTTCCGCATTGAGAACGTAGTTTCGGTCCGGTTAGCCAAGAGTATCCATGAGCTACCTCCAGTTGCTTTCGCTGACAGTTGCACATTGGTCCACTATGACAACCATGTGAATCCAGGATTTCATTATTATGAAGCAGAAGGTACTGCTCTTAACATTCACGATACAACTGGATCAGCACATTCTAGAATCATCCAGTGCTTGAAGCCCACCAAACCTCAAGCAGGCTTTGACCAGGATATGACAAAGTTTGAGGGATTGGCGGATGCACCGACACTGGCTGGAACTGCAAGAGAAGCCTCAGAAACCTAACCACCACAGGAGGATGGACGGCTTCCTACGATTTATGAGGAGTCGGAGGCTGACCTCGAGTCACACGTCGTGGAAGTGTGGTATGCAGAATTACAAGATGAAAGGGAACTGCTGGAGGCAACACAACTAGAGGATCCCTCCACGATGCCCGCATATATGACTCCAGACCATAGTGCGCTGATCACGGTAGCTGAAGAACAGCGGGGACACCTGCCTAAGTGGGGGCACCCGCACGACTCCGACACCGAGGAGACGTATCATGTCCCATTGTGCGCCATGGTCGAAGACTGTTGCTACGGACTGGACCCGGGCGAAAATGGACAATCTGTAGAACTCTGCTTTACGGCAGATGTGTCAAAGGTAGTTTTGTCCGAACAACAGCACAGGATATGAGATGCCGACCGTGCGACCACTATGCGAGTATACGTTACCGCCGCTGCAAAGCGAGCTGCGGTCGTCAAGGATTACGACCTCCTCGCGAAGGCTGACATTTAGGCGAATCCCGACAGAGCATCGAAAGCCCTCTACACCGAACTCAAGACATGGTTTGACAGCAAGTGTTTCAAATTGCAAGACATATCCAAAGCGTCAAACATCATGACTTCGAGGTCTGTGTACACATGGAAGTTTGTGAAGAACGAGAATGGCGAGCTGGAACGTGCCATCAGATTGCGCCTGGCGCTTCGCGGCTTCATGGACCTTGAAGCCTTTGACGTGGAAGCCTCTTCGGGAACAGCGCGGCGGTCAAGCCAGCGACTACTCGCGAGCACGGCAGCGTGCAAGAAGCAATGGATCATTGTTTCCCTCGACATCAACATGGCCTTCATGAAAGGGTTGGCCGACCAAGAACTTGCTGGAGCAACTGGTGAAAAGGAACGCGTGGTGCGTTTCACCTCGCCGCCTGGGTCGGCCACGGTGCTTCGAACTCTCCCGGGATTCGAACGCAACAACGGGTCAAAGCACTGCTTGCAGTGCCTTGAACCAGGCGCTGGCACCAAAGACGCACCCCGAGCTTTCTCACTAAAGCTCAGAAGGGCCACGAGAGGTTTTGGTCTCCGACCCGCGTCCTACGACGAGGAGTTCGAGACGAGTAACAACCTGCTTACGGCCAAAGATGTTGATGATATCAATATGACCTGCACTGAGGACACCATTGGCAAGTGCGTCAAGTGCGTCGAAGACACCTTTGGTAAGTGTAAACTCAACAAACACACGTGCACCAATTGCGCTGTGATATATACCAAGGATGAGGACGGCAATGTTACTTTGAACCAAGACGAACACAGCAAGCAGCTCCGTCCTATGCAACATCCCGAATTTACCGGCGCCGACGCTGACGCTCAGGCATCCAAGATGGTTGCAGACATGTTCGTCAGCCTCAGAGGCGCGCTGGCGTATGCATTGATCAACCAGGTGCGGTTGATGGTGTATGTCGTTTCTCTACAACGTGTCCAAGAACCGACCAATATACAAGTACGACGACTCAACGCGATCACCAGGAAACTGCCGGCCTGTCCTAAGAAGATCGTCTACCAGGCGATGACCCCTACGGGCGAGGTCGACCTGCACAGCAACTCGGGTTACCGACGCCTGAGCGGAGACGCCGATGACGACGTCGAAGGCTATGGTATTCGCGGGGCGAACCTGCTACGGCGTGGAAACACGCCATCTGGTAAACCCGTCGTCCACTTGATCGATGCGTACTGCAAGTCTCACCGCTTGCAGGTCCGCTCGAGCTATTCAGCAGAGACGCTAGCAGCTGCACATAACTTGGACGACTGTTATCCCACGATCGTGACTCTGCACGAGCTCCACGCAGGGCCGCTAACTCCCACTCAGTTGAAAGACGTACTTGAGTTGGGTGGCCTGAGCATCAAGGCCACTTTGACCATAGATGCTGAGTCTGTTTTAAAGTCCTTGTCAAGCAAAGACTTGAAGAAGCCGACTGAGTGTACCCTTTTAGGGCACATCAGTTGGATTCGACAGATGATGGAGCGAGGAATCGTGCACAGTATTCAGTGGTGCGGCACCCGCGATATGACTGCGGACGGTCACACCAAGGAGAGCATCGACAGAGAGATGCTCCTACAGGCCATGGGAGGTATACGGTCCTTCAAACATGACTTAAATTATCATACTCCCTATCGGGCTGGCCAGACATCCCGTTCTGTGGCCGCCTGAGGAGTATCTGTATGTACAAAGTAGTACAGGCAAGGCAACTTGCGTGCGGGTCCACCTTCCTTACGGCCCCGCCCTTTTGTTGCTGCCCTTTTGTAGATAGTCGCTGCTGTATCTGCTGTATAGAGGCGGCAGATTCACGCCTCGTCTCCCTCCCCCCCGACTCTAAAGTGAACTGGGCAATGCATGTGAGTGGGAACGAGCGTGCATCCGCGGCTGCTTGGCTCAAAGCGGCCGGCCGCCCAGATCTGACTACACCTCAGCGCGAGCTGTACTATTTGCCATCGATACCAAAACACTGCTTGAGATGGCTCGCCCCCTACTACTAGGACTATCGCTGCTGCGGTACAACAGGGCGGGAGTTTGGCTTCGCCTAAGGCGAAGCTGTTGGTTGGGCCTCCCAGCCCTTTTCAAACTGGGATTCGGGGGGTCCGATTTCCGGGGGGGGGGTCCCGGGTAATAGAATATATGAATGGGAACAGTCGTCGCCTATTCTTCGGCAGCATCAGCCGATGGGTTCCACACGGCGACATGTTATCGATGCTGCTCCGGCTTCCCGAGCCGGACCCTCCTTAGCGGCGCCTGTGGCGCCGCCCCTGCATTGGGTGGACAAAAGATCGTAGGTTATCTGAGCGTCTGAGAAACAGCGTGCCGACTTGGATCAGATCCCATCGATATCGGAGGAACTCACCCCCCCACACACACATGTCAAGGTTGACTTGCATTACTTTGCCCAACCGGACTTGGGGTGCTCGCTTGATGCCAACATCGAGATGCAGGGTGCGGGGATGATTCGTCGAGGTGGCGTCGCAATGTAGGTGCAGCCGCACGCGGTCAGGAACAGCTTGCAGCGTTTCGTCGTCCCACCGTGGCGCGGTCAGCGCGCCAGGGGGGGTCCGCGCCGACCCAAGAAGTCTGCGCGGAACTCCGAAAGCTCATGCTCATGCTGCATTTCTTCTTCCTGAGGTGATCACGTGTGGGGAGCCGCTGCACGAGGAGACCATACAGCAGTACTTCAGGCACTTCCGCGACGCCGATCTGGACAACATCTACGGGCCCACTGAGGGCTCGATCACGTACTGGCGCTGCCCCCGCGGCGGCTGTACCTCCACGGTGCCCATCGGCGTGCCTATATGCGGTGCCCGAGTGTACGCGCTGGCCGACGGGTCGCGCAGGCTGGCGGAGGTCAACGTGCCAGGGGAGGTGCACTTCGCTGGCAAGCTCATCGCCCGCGGCTACCTCGGCCTGCCAGAGGCCACGGCGCAGGCCTTCGTCAAGGACACCGTCCTCGAGAGCAGGTACCCCGGCGACCGCATGTACCGCACCGGCGACCTGGCCTGCTGGAAGCCGACTGGCCAGCTGCACTTCCTGGGGCGCATGGACAGCCAGGTTAGCGACGGAAGACAACGGGGTCGACTGCGCGGACATTCGCGCGTAAGCTTCTTGCGAAAGGTCACGCGTAGGCGCTCTCCTCCGCGCGGTGTGCCACGATAGCGACCCGCGTAAGCCCGCGTAAGCCGCGGCCATTGTGCGGACGACCCATTTCCGTGTCGTCGATCAGGTCAAACTCCGGGGTTACCGCATCGAGATCGGAGAGATCGAAGCCGCTATCCGGGGTTGTGCGGGCGTGAAGGACACTGCCGTGGTCCTCGCCGGCGACGGCGAGGCGCGCTTCCTGGCCGCCTACGTGGCGCCGCTGCAAGTCGACCTGCAGCAGGTGCGCGCCACGTGCGCCGCGAAGCTGCCAGCGTACATGTCCCCGGCGGCCTGGCTGCGGCTCGAGAGGCTGCCGCTAACCGACCGTGGCAAGCTGGACAAGAAGGCGCTGCCGCCAGCGCAGGCCCTCGCACCGGCGCAGGGCTCCTGGGCGTACGCGCCCACGCGGCCCCGCACGCCCCTGGAGGGCGCGGTGGTGGAGGCCTTCGCGGAGGTCCTGCAGAGGCAGCCGTCGGAGGTGGGCGTCGAGTCCGACTTCGTCGCCCTCGGCGGCAACTCCGTGCTGGCAGGTAAGGTCACGTCGCGCCTGCGGCGCTCGCTGCGCCTGCCGCTGCCGGGCGCGGCGCTGTACCAGCGGCCGACGCCGGCGCGGCTGGCGCAGCTGCTGGAGCAGCTGCGCCAGGAGCCCGCCACGCGCAGGGGGCGGGGGTAGGGTCAAGTCGGGCGTGTCCCTCTACAGGAGGAATAGTCAAAAATTAGTTATAAAAAAAAGATAGTCAGGGGCTTTTGAGCATTTGGGGGCATCGTTTGATTATCTTTTTCGCCCAAAACCCGCCTGTAGGGGGACAGGCCCGACCTAAGGGGAGGGGGAGGGGGAAGGCTTCTCAGAAGCATCCTGCTTCTCATAAGGCGCGGGCCTTGTCTGTAGATGTAAGGCCCGCGCCTTCTGAGAAGCAGCGTCCTTCTAAGAAGCCTCCCCCCCTCCCCCTGCCCCTCTCTGCGCGCCGCCGAAGGAGGCCGCGGCGGAGGAGGGGTGTGCCCAGCAGGGCGAGGGTGACGCCGCCGCTGGCGAGGGCCCAGGCGCCCCGGAGCTGCGCTGGCAGGGGCTCTCGTCCACGCGGCCAGCGGCGGTGGCGATGACCGCGCTGCTGCCCCTGCTGGAGGTCTTCGGGCAGCTCACGGACCTCAGCGGCTTCGTCGAGGTCCTGATCCTCAAGCTCCTGCTGGAAGGGGGCCACGGACACCAGCTGTCCGTGCACCAGCTCGTCGCGGTGTTCGCCTGCTCGTCCATGGTCTTCGGCCTGCTACTCTTTGCCGTGGACGTGCTGCTCGCGCTGGTGCTGAAGCGCGCCCTCGTCGGGAGGCTGCGCAGGGGAAGCTACCCGGTCTTCTCCGTGGAGTACTTCCAGTGGCTCTACCTCCAGCGGGTGACCAAGGGCGTGGTCAAGCTCGCCTGCGCCCTCTTCGGCGGGACGCCCGTGCTGAACCAGGTCTACCGCCTGCTGGGCGCACAGATCGGCCAGGGCGTGCGGATCAAGAGCAGGCAGCCCATCCTCGAGCCAGACCTCGTCACCATCGAGGACGGGGCCTACATCGGCGACGAGTGCAAGCTCACCTGCTCCTCCATCGTCGACGGGCGGCTGCTGCTGGACCCTGTGCACGTCGGCCGGGGCGCACGGGCGAGGCCCTACAGCTCGTTGGGCCGCGGCGCCTGGCTGCCCGCTGGCGCCGAGCTCCCGCCGCGCAGCTGTCTCACAGGCTACGGCGGCGGCGCCAGCGGCCTCGAGACGGGCGGCCTGGTCGCCAGGGCGCGGTTCTCAGCGCCGCCGCGGGGGCCCGAGACGCTCCTGCTGCTCGGGGTGCCCCTGCTCCTGCTGGCCGACATGGCGCTCGGAGCGGAAAAAGAGGGATACGGTTGGGGGGGGGGGCGTGCGTTGAGGCGTGGCATCGCTCGGACGTGAGCATTTTTCGCGGCGGTGACCATCGATGAGCATCTTGGATCATCTTGCGAACAAAAAGAAGAAGACGCGCAAACCGACATATGCACAGGGAATGGACGTCCGAGCGATGGCCAGGCCTGAGGAATGTGCCCAGGAAGCTCCAGACCCTGGAGGATTCCTCATCTGATGAGGGCGACGGTGATGTCCATGGCCGAGCCTCAATTGTGCGACGGAAGACCGAACAAAAACGGGTTCGTCTGCGCCAACATTCGCGCGTAGGCTTCCCGCGTAAGGTCGCGTGTGAGCGCCACCTTCTCCAATGTAGCGTGCCGCGCTGGCGGCCCGCGTAAGCCAAAGCAGAAGGTCGCCATGTCATCTCGCGTAAGACCCGTGTTCTTTCGTCGCTCAATTGGTTTTCCACGGATCCCTTCCTCATGCGGAAAATTCTGGAGGCCTCGCGCGGCGCGTAATAGTTGTATTATCTAGTCCACACGTCAGCTCCGTAAGCTATGGGTCGACGCTCGCGCGGCGATGCTCCGGCGTCAGTCCGACGTCACTCCACCTTAGCCCGACGTGAGCCCGACGTGCATCCGACGTGGATCCGACGCAAAGCGGGTCTCAAGTTGCCGTGCGAGGCCTCCAAGAGTGTCTTCATACTTCAACGGGCGAAGAACGGTACAAAATACACTTCTTCGCTGTCGGGGGCGCCGGTCCTAGGGCGGCCTGACAGTTGATACCCTTACGCTGGCACGTCAAGGTAGAAACCTTCCAGCTGCCCTGGGACAGCGCGCCCGGCGACGGAAAAGTTTATTTCATACCGCTATTCGCCCACTAAATCCGAGCATTTTTTTTGGGTAGAGGGCAAAGGGTGAAATTTGAAATTCCTTTTCGATGGATTTTCGATGTTTGAATCTGCAAAGGGTGAATCACAAGACGGATGGAATGTCGAGGTGCAGAAGCCCATATGGATTTCGCCCTGAGCCCTCCACCCTGAGAAAATGCTCAGTCACCGCCGCTGTGCCCCGTCCTTCGCCCCCCCCAACGGCGCGGGCTCGCCTCGGGGCATCTCCCGGCCCGAGCGCGCGCGCGCGCGCTCGGTCCGGGAGAGGCCTGCGGAGCCCAGGCTCGCGCGCCAGAGCCCGAGCACGAGCGCGCGCGAGGGCCCGCGCACGGGCACGAGCCCGAGCCCGAGTCCGAGCCCGAGCCCGGGCTCGAGGAGGACGAGGAGGAGGAGGAGGAGGAGGAGGAGGAGGAGGAGGAGGGCACGAGCCCGAGCACGTGCGGATGTGGGCGCAGCGGTGTTGGCATCTTGCGCTTCTCTCCAGGCGTCCCTGGTGCCCATGCTCTACCTGTCGGTCTACATCTCGGACTGCGAGTGGGTGCTCTACATGGTGGCCATGGCCGTGGCGGGGGAGCACCTGCACCGGCTCCCCCTGGCGGTCAAACCATTTTTTTTTCTCCTGCAAACTCACTCAAGCAATCCTCGCGGCCATGCTTGGTTTATATATCCTCTGGTGTGGTGCGGTGGTCAGCTCACAGCAACGTCCGCCGGGCAGTTAACAAATCCTCTGGTCCGAATTCAGACGAAAAATCGTATGCCTGAAGTGATCTAGACGGGTTGCGTGAAAATTACAGTACAGTGTGAGAAGATACAAACAGCAACGTCGCTATGATATTAACAAGGTACAGCGGTGCTAGAATCAGAATCAGCCAGAATCAAAACACAAAAGACGGCAACATGAGCCAAACGAAGCCAGAATGGAAGTAGCCAGAAGTGGCCAGAATTAGAACACATGTTTTTTGTTGCCTTAAGGTTCTCCCTGGTGGCGGTCACCGTCTTCGTGAAGTGGCTGCTGGTGGGCAGGGTTCGGGCTGGTTCGAGGACCTCGGAGAGCTCCGTGAGGCGGACCTTCCATTGGGTCGTGGAGGCTCTGCTGGAGCGCGAGACGTTCAAGAACGCGCTGGACGTCCTCATCAACACCGAGGTTCGAGGATGTTCGAGGAAGTAGCAGCTGCGTAAACATAAACGTTCGGAGCTCCTCGCGGACGTCTCGGATCGGCGCTGGGACCTCCTAGCGGCGCCGCCCCTGGCGCGCTCCTGGGGGCCACAACGCCGATCCAAGACATCCGCGCGGAGCTCCCACAGTCTATGCTGGTCGGCACCACCCAAACATGCTTGTGCTGTGTGCGCGTCGGCCTCACAAGGGTGACGCGCCCGCTCGGAAATCTTACGGCATCGCCCCCGCGACTCGTGCCTGGAAACCCCCACCCCACCCCAGACGGATTTATTTTCCTCCTTCCGCGGGGGGTCCATTTTCGCGGCGAGTCGTTAAACCCGGGACCCTTGGCGGCGCATGGACTTGTTTCCTTCTTCCGCGCGCGTGTTGCCGCTGGAACCCCTGAACCCCTCCAGCTAGAGTGCACCTGGCATTTGAGTACCACTGGCACCATCATGCGGTAGCAGCTCAGCTGCTCCTGCAACTGGTCATGCAGCAGAACTAGTCTCGATTGAGGCATTTAAGGAAACAGTATATAGAGTCCTGAATTTGACAATGGGAAATAATATAGGATCGCGACTTGGGAACACGGAACAATAGTATAATTGCGATTACCGAGCGCGGAGACATTACAGGTGTCGATTTCGGAAAGAGGAAATAGGACGCACAGTAGCGTGCAATTCATACCAGTACATTTCCCTGGCACAGCTACGATTAGAGTGATGCTGCATCACATTTACAATCTGGGCTTTCGAGCGTTTCCTCTGGTTGCGCTGAGGGGGGGTTAACCCGTGCGTCTGCACCCACGCGGCTGAGAGTTCATTCCTTTTCTGGAATTTCTTGCAGGGGTAGACCCCGTGCCCGACCCCCTCGACAAACCGCAGAAACCAAACCCCTTGGGTTCCTCGGCGCGCCCCGGAAATGCTTCCCTTCCGGATGGCCCCCCATGGGTCCTATGTTGAAGTCGCTCGGGTAATCTTGCGGTATAAGCTCCATGGCGGGCACTTTCTGGCCATACCGCTCGGGAACCGATATACAATCATATGTGTGTGCGTGCTATCTACTCGTGTCGAACGCGCGCCCGCGCTGTTCGTATGTTGTTTGTGAACTATATGCTCGTGTCCTCTGTGCTCATACTAAATGTTCGTATGTACGAACATGTAGTACGACTTTTGCGACTGTGTAATGTAGCATGCGACGCGGACTATAGTACTATGCGTATGCGGCGAGGACTACAGTACTATGTGTTTGTGTACTAGGTGTTCGTATGTATGCGTTTGTGTCCATATTAGAATGCCCTTCTACGCCCTATATGTTTATTCAGCTTGTTGGTCCTCCAGAGGTGCTCCGCTTCATCTTCGTGGCCCTGGGCGCCAGCGTCGGCCCGCGCGCATGCATGGACATGGTCACGTGCCACCACCCAGACCTGGTGTCCATCGGCGACCACATGATCTTCGGATCCAAGGTTGGCATCCTGTGCGAGGACGACGAGAGGAGGAGACCCGTGCAGATCTGTAGGGCCGCCAACGTCCTGGACAATTGTGTGCTGTGCCCCGGAGTGGTCGTCGGTCAGCGCGCCGTGCTCGGCACGAACACGCTGGCCGCGCCGGGCCAGTACTTCCCGCCAGACACGATCAACACGGGGAACAAGGTCAGAGGAGGGCGAGTTGAGACAACGGTAGTTGGCCCTCGGGGGGGGGGGCCCTCGTCGTCACGGCTGGACGCAGCTCGGAAAAGAGGTGCGCCTGGACCACGGGGAGGTGTCTGGGGACCGATGCTGAGCCGCCGTTGTCTCACCTGGCCCCGCTGCGGCAAGGGCGGCCAGGCCGTCTTCCTGCGCAAGAAGGGCAGGGGTGCCCCCGAGACGGAGGCCCTGGAGGCGGAGGCCAACCGCCGCCTCGACAGCCCGGGCATCTGGGCGGCGTTCAACGCCGGCCTGTGCGCCTGCGCGCTTCTGGAGCCCGTCCTCAGAGCTGTGAAGGCCCTGCCCTTCATCGCCTGCTGGTTTCTGCCCATGGACAGCTCCATTCTCGTATCCTCCGCGGTCCTGCTGCTGATGATGGCGATGGAGGAGTTCGTGGAGGCCGTGTTCCTGTACGTGCTGAAGTGGCTGGTGATCGGCGCGTTCCGCGAGCGCGAGGTTGTCTTCTTCGGCCTGGAGCACTTCTGGTGGATGGTGTGGCTGCTGGTGAGCTCCACCTTCAACCACCTGGAGTCGTTCCACGGCACCGCCCTCTACAGCGCCTACCTGCGCGCCATGGGGGCCGAGGTTGGTTGCGACTGCACGCTGTTCGGCTTCACGCTGGAGTTCGACCTGCTACACATCCCGAAGAAGAGAAAACCGCACACACACATATATAAACTTTGGAGCTCAGCGCGGATTTCTTCGATCTGCGCTGGGACCCGGAGGCGTCGCCTCCAGCGCCGCCCCTGGCGCGCTCCGCATTCCAGGAAGGGTGGCCCAGCGCCGATCCAAGAAGTCCGCGCGGAGCTCCGAAAGTCTATAGTTATGCCGTTGTTTCTCCTTCTGACGTCGGCGACCGCGCCAGCGTGGGTCTCGACTGCGACAACACGTACCGCACTTAGGAAACGCAGCGCGTCCCGTGTTCGAAACGTCCATGCTAACACGCCGCGTGTTTGCTCAATGATTTTTGTCCTAGGCTCATCGCGTATACAGTGCAAAATGCGTGCTGCTAGCACGGCACTCTGTGGGGCCTCCGAGGCAGATGGCTGCGGAGGTGGGGAATCGCTGCTGCTGCAAACCCGTCTCTCGCGCCTGTGCTAAAACTGTGTGCGCGACTATCTTGCCAGAAACGGAATTCAGACCTATCTTCATCTGATGCGTTGTGGCCCTCGTTTTGGCGAACGTATCGCGTCAGAGCTACGCTCTGCGTGTTGAGCTCCGTGTCGGCACGCGACGTGCTGCGGGCTGCGCATCGGGGCAGCCAAGGTGCCACACGGTGGAGAACATGGTCCTGAAGATGGTGCCCGTGCGCCTGGGGGCCTACAGCGCCATGCAGCGGCACAGCTTCGTGATGCCCGGCGCCGAGCTCGGGGCGGGCGCCGTGCTGCTGGAGGAGTCGCAGGTTCTC